ATATATAATATATGTATAGTGTATCTGATATATGTATAATATAAATAGATATATCTTACCAGTATATAATATTTATCTTGATACAATAAGGCCCTGCACACAATGGAGGAAATATTAGGAATAAATATAAAAAAATAGGAATAAATATTAATACTTTAACCTATCAGAAATCGTGTAACTCCGGTGTAACTGATATCTGATAAGTTGAAATCTTAATATTTATTCCTGTTTTTCTGATATTTGATATATTACGCGCAGGCCCTCTCTCTAATACAGTTAAATTATAAAATAGTTGTAGAGGAAAGTCGTCTATTATGAAATGGGCCTAATATGAGATACCGGCGTTTCCGCTATACTACCCAATGGGGAAAAAAACATTTTTTAAACGTTTTTTTAAACGTTTTTAAAAACTTTAAAAAAACGTTTGAAAATACGTTTAAATAACGGGATTTGTCCCTATTTTTTCATTTAAAAAACATTTATTTAAACGTTAAAAAAAACGTTTATTTATTGTTAAAAAAACATTTTTTTAATATTTAAAGAAAATAAAAAACGCTTTCTAATGTTAAAAAAACGCTTTTTTAAGATTTGACAGAAATGATTTTATAATGATAAAAGTAACGTTTAAAATAACAAGAAAAGTCCCCTTTTTTCATTAAAAAAATGTTTGTTTAAACGTTTAATGCCCTTTTCCACCAATGTAGATTAACTTTAATCTTGGTTCAACTTACTCTTTGTTTTTTTTTAATATTTAGAACTAGAAAAAGACGTAGAGTAAGTTGAATCGAGATTAAAGTTAATCTACATTGGTGGAAACGGGCATAAATAACGTTTTTTTAATGTTAAAATTATTTGAATAAAATTAGAAACAATATTGTATAACGCAGAATATCTTTTTCAATTTATTATTTTTTGTCGATAGTACATTTAACCTTAGACCAGTGGTCGCAAGGATTTGCACATTTCGGGCCGATTCCGACGCGCGACCCCCACCACCGCACGGCCGAGCCGCCGGGCGATCACGTGACGCTCTGACTCAGGGGCGCTCCTATACCAGAAATATACTAGGAGCGCGCCTTCCGCCAAATTATTATTGAAATGTTTTTTATTAAATA